ACTTCTCTAGGAGCTCCTCCATATGACGCTGGCAGTTCTCTTTGAAACTGCTCAGACCTGGTCAACTGAGCTCCCTGCTTGCTCTGAGCCTCTGCACCAATCTCAATAAATAGCTGCATAGTTGTGTAGCCACAGCTTACAGGGAACTTCGGTGGTAGGGGCCCTCACTTGCTCTTGCCCAGGTGACCCATAAAACTAATCTGCCCCTGCAGATAGCACCAGGCAGGGAGGGTCAGGTCAGTCAACTTGCCATGTGAGAGAGTTGTACAGGAGTGTGTACATCTCTCATTCCTCTCCATGTGAATCCTAAGCCTTAAGATAAGATTAATAAAAAGAATCCATCTGCACAGTATTTCTTTTAAAACAGGGGCTCAGTCAACTTGATGTTAATTTGAACATTTGTACTTCATAATTTTGATTGATTGTTGTTGAACTCACTTGAATATGAAGAATTGTATCATATGTGTTAGCAATTTTTGTATCTTTTTTCCGACTTTTCCCTGCAGTGTAGACATAGCCTAGGTAGACAAGAAAAACAGAGAGAGAGAGCCACTATAGGCAAGATGGACAGATAATGTAGTATCATTATAGCCATATTGGTACCAGGATACTAGAGAGACAAGGTGGGTGAGGTAATGTTTATTGGACCAATTTCTGATAGAGAAAGAGACACACTTTTGAGTTATGCAGAGCCCTTCTTTGGCTACGTCTACACTGGCCCCTTTTCCGGAAGGGGCATGTAAATTTCACTAGTCGTCGTAGGGAAATCCGCGGGGGATTTAAATATCCCCCGCGGCATTTAAATAAAAATGTCCGCCGCTTTTTTCCGGCTTTTAAAAAAGCCGGAAAAGAGCGTCTACACTGGCCCCGATCCTCCGGAAAAAGTGCCCTTTTCCGGAGGCTCTTATTCTTATTCTTATTCTTATTCTTACTTTGAAGTAAGAATAAGAGCCTCCGGAAAAGGGCACTTTTTCCGGAGGATCGGGGCCAGTCTAGACGCTCTTTTCCGGCTTTTTTAAAAGCCGGAAAAAAGCGGCGGACATTTTTATTTAAATGCCGCGGGGGATATTTAAATCCCCCGCGGATTTCCCTACGACGACTAGTGAAATTTACATGCCCCTCCCGGAAAAGGGGCCAGTGTAGACGTAGCCAAAAAGTCAGAGTTTTGAAATTTAGGCTGAGAAAACAAGGAGACCACCTGAGGTGAGACATAAATGGCCTTTGCAACTAAACTCTTCCCCAAAAGGAGATGTTGGTCAGGCACAAGGTAACAGTGGCAATTCATAGGGGCTAAAGAGCTCTTTGATATGAGTAAATATTTATATGCTTGTTACATCAAAATTAATCAGTGTCTCAGCTAAATACACCGTGGGACAAAACCCCAAAACACCCTATTACTGGTGGGCGAACACTTCACAAAGCCATCACTCCATATCTGACCCGTCAGTCCTCAGCCTCAAAGGAAACCTGCACAACTTTCAAAAGACAGTTTGCAGGCTTTATTTTACTAGACACTTAAAATCATGGGCTCAGATATTGGTTTCATGGCTCACTAGATTTACTCCACATTGCTCAGGTCCTTAACTCAATTTTTGTTTTTCTACATTTAAATCAATGCTCTGGGGTGGGGCTGAGGATGAGGGGTTCAGGGTGCAGGCTGCCCCCAGGAGAAGGACTACCTCAGCCCTCTCACTGCCGCAGATTGGGCTAGGTAAGAAGTCCTTCTCTATGGCTGCTGCATCTCCAGTGGGCATAGCCAGGGAAGGGTGCATGCCCCCCAACTGGGGAAGGTCCATCTGTTTTCTGTACACCCCAGCCAGAGTGAGGAATGCAGCAACCTGTGCACTTTTCCCTCTCTCCATGACAAAGGGGAACAGCCAGCAATGTTCCCATATGAATGGGAGCGGGGAGAGCTTCAGCCCTTCTGCTGCCCTCCCTAAAGGGCACCTGGGAGGCTCAGGGCTGTGGCAGTCCTGGCCTGAGGGTGGGCACACCCAGCCAGTCCCTTTCACCTGCCTGGTGATTCTTTCTCTTTTCTCTCAAATATACAGTACACTGGAAGACTTATCTGGTGTTGCCCAGGACCTTCAGGGCAGGAGGCTAGCGATGTGGGTGGTGCAGGACTCAGGCGTGGGGGACTTGGAAATATGGGGTGCTCAATGCAGGAGACCAGGGGTGTAGGAGGGTGCGAGAGTGAGGGTTGGGGGTGAAGAGGGGCTCAGGGCAAGGAGTGGGAGTGCAGGAATCAGGGCAGGGAGTGAGAGAGGGC